GGGCCGCGGGTGCCGGAGCCTCTCCGCCGCTAGCCTGGGCCCCCCCTCGCTTCTCGGGCCCTCCTCTCACTCTCCTCCCTTCCCGCCGCAGCCGGCAGCATCTCCCGCGTCCCGACGTGCGTCTCCCGGACCGGACTGCGAGAGCGATCGTGCTCTTCCTGGCGTCCCGGTGCTTCCGCGATCCGCTGCTGCTGCGGGGGCAAAGCTTTTCCTTGGCGTCGCGGGGAGCAGCGAGAGGAACTCGTGCACCATGAAAACGGTACCGTCAGCGTTGTCCGGCTGAAGGCGCGGGCCGGCCCTCCTGGCGCTTTCAGCAGAGCCGCCGGCTTTGTTCGAGAGGCGCTTACCGGCGAGCCGGGGGGCAGAGCCTGCCCTGTTAAGAGGGGCTATAAAGGCGCCGGTTTCTTACCTGCCCAGTAAGAATGAGCTCTGAGGAATGATGGAATTGCAAGGGTGCACCCTGGTAGGGAAGCCGGCATTAGTGTCAGCAGCATGCGTCTTCCCTGTAATATCTGCTTTATGAGTTATCTCTGGTGGTGCGTGAAAGTTGTGCCAGGATTTTGTTGTTTGAGGTGGGCATGACACCTTGCTTGGCAATCTCGGTTGTGAAAGAGTTGCCTTTGTGAAAACATGCAGAGCTCTTTGTGTGATTTTTTTTTTTTTTTTTTTTTTGTAATATATGTACAGAGTAGGATAGATTTAAATTCTGCTGTTTTATAATTTTTTTCCTGGATTAAAAATGTGGACTTCTGGGAGATCCTTCCAAGTTTCTGATCTAAGTAACTGCTTCCTGGAGCACTACTTACTGATTGCTTTTTGGGCTGGTTAGTAGCTGTTGTGCCAGGCGTCTCAAATCTTCATGTTTGTTGTTTGAGTTTACTGCCACAGGTAGACAAGGCAATTAGCACATCCAGTCTAATTCTCATAGCTGTTCTGAATTCCTTTAGATTTAGCGTCTTTGTACATCCATCAGAAATACTTGCTGAGGTATATTACATGGTTTATTGTGGTGAAGTTGCTGCTAAATTCTCTGTAGGATTCATATAGAAATACGTGTGGCAAATTCTCAAGCATCTCTTGTCTTTTGGCCGAGTATTCCCAAAGCAGAGCTGAAAAAAGGAGTTAAGACATTTTTATTTCCTATTATTAAAAGGGTTTTTTTAATCACTTCACATTTAAATAGCAGAAATGGCACTTTGTGTTTACATAGTGGGTTTTTTTTTTAAGGGTGTCTTACAGAACACCTGCCAAAACTCCCACTGAGGAAATTTTTCTAGTGTAAGATCGTGTAGCTCTCACAGTATTAGACAACTTGATGGCTGTTCAGTTACTGACAAGTGCTGAGCTAGAATAGTTGTGCGCTAAATTTGAACCTTGTCCTAGTTCATCTGCTTGTTCTCTCTTGATTTATTCTCAGAGGTCTAATCTCAACCTCTGCTGTTGTACATACAAATTCAGGAGTGATAGCATTACAGAAAATCTGAGCTAATTTACGTGCTGTCCCGTTAGCATAAGGAAAATGTGCTTTTAAGGCCTTCTGAAGCCTTAAAAACAGTTTTTGTGGTTGGTTTTTTTTTTTTGTTGGTGTACGTATTATGAACAGTTTCTTCTTTCAGACTGTTTGCAAGGTCTGTGCTGTCTTCCAAGCTGAAATTTGCTGTTCAGAGCCTCTGCTCTCCTTGGAATTTTTGTGTATACAACTGACTAGTCCTGTGAAGTGAGCGCTGCAGTTACCTTCAGAGTTGTTCATCTGTCATTGAATTGTTGATATTTTTTTTTGGTTTTTTTCCCTAGTCACATCACATTTACGTGTATGCTCTACATTTCAGTACCCCACAAAGCAAAGCTTTCCTTTCTTATCTGACCTTCTATAGACTCTAGGAGGAGGGAAAAAAAATCTTAAAGCTGTTTCATCGGAAATGATCTATAGCACTTATGAAAGCCTAAGGATTGGAAAGTTGCAGAGAGCCCGAAACTATTTAAAAGATGTTCCAATTACAATTCTTGGAAGTATATGGCATTCATACCAAATCAGGAACAAAGCAATGCTTTTTCTGGGAGTTTTCAAATCGGATTCCTTTCTGCCTGCATGTGTGTTTTTTTTAAAGTAACTTCTTGATCCTCACAGCAATTTATAAATATTTACTTTTAAAAATACAGCCACATAGACAGTAGTGTAGTGGAAAAGCACTTTTGTAAGTAATGATATCAACTTATAGATGAATAATAAACTACTTGTACTGTTTGTTGTATTTAATATTTAAATTTAAAAGCTCTCTGGGGGGGAGGAATTTGTTGAGGTTTTGGGCAGGGTTTAGCATCTTGAATTTTAGAGAGTTTGTCAGAAACCTGGGTGTTCTGAACAACTTCCGTATAAAAGCTAGCAAACTTTTCAGGTCTGCTCTAACTTACCTTTAAGATGGATCAGCTAGCTAACTAACTTGCTAGTCTTGTTACTACTAAAATTGTATCTGTGTGTTCATTGTCTTTTCTTCAGATGACGGGATCAAACGAATTCAAACTAAATCAAACTCCGGATGACGGTATTTCATCAGTAAAGTTTAGTCCAAATACATCTCAGTTTCTGCTTGTCTCATCCTGGGACACAACTGTCCGCCTTTATGATGTTCCTGCCAACACCATGAGACTCAAATATCAACATTCAGGAGCTGTCCTTGACTGTGCTTTTTATGTAAGTGTGTGAGGTGGTTTTTTTTTTTTTTAAATATTACTTTATAGATATGTGGTGCCGAAGGTGTACATAAGAAATTGTTAGCTGCTGAAATTAAAGGGATAGTGAAATCCTACCTGAAATCTAGGTTTAAAAAACCCCAAAAAACCAAAAAAAAAAAACCCCCCACCAACAAAACAAACCCCCCCCCCCCAAACCTTACTTCTGCCAATTATTCTCCTTTTAGTGAATGTTGTTCTAGTCCTAAATATAGTATTGCCCATAAAGGGTGCAGGCTCACAAGTAATTTACTTCTGGTAGAAGTGGTAGATGAAAATAACTTGAGCTGCTTTGTGCTGTTTCTGCGATGGTATGGTAAACTGTGTGTGTTCCTTCCAAAGAGTCATACTGCTAGTACATAGCCAGAAAACATTATTCACAATAAATGCCCATAGCCAATTTTTTCTTTTATTTTCTTTTTAACCTTCTCATACTGGGTTGTTTTGGAAACATGTTCCAAGTGAGCCATTTACCAGATACTTGATTTCTGAGTTTTTAATGCACTGGACTTGAAATGTGAATGGTTTAAGTTTATTGGTGGCACTTTTTTTTTTTTTTTTTTTGTGTGAAATAGAAGGTTTCGGTTAGCATCTTCCTTCTTTGCACTGTATTCTGGCATGTCCTCTGGTGACTTGATCTTGATATGTTACTGAATGTTTTAAGGAACAGTTTAAATTTTTAATTCTGCTTGTGCTTTTTTTCACTGAACGTTTTGTCATGTAGCTAATACCGTGCTGTGGATCAACACACAGGTTCTCAAATCGTTTCTAATTTCCCAGTCAATTTTTAGAAGGACTACACTTCAGTTAGGTGGAACTGGCCTAGGTTGACAGTCATTTACATTTGAAAATAAGCATTATGTGTTTTGCTGTTACAGAAATAGAAATTGTTTGATATAGCCTCTAGCCTGCTTTTGTTACTTTTTAGTTTTATTTGAAATTAAAAAAAAAAAATATTATAGCTCAAAGTGTTTTACTTAAACATTTTGCAAAACTTCTGTCATCTGCCTGTTCAGATCTGGGCTGGATCTTAACCCATGTGTCTTGATTCCCATCTTCCCAAAACTCTTGAAAGCAAGTCCTGTGTTATGAGCCTAAAAAATTAAACGTATAGCAGCCAGGGAAACTTAACGTGTGTCATAAGGTGAAATTTTTTGCTTTATAGGATCCTACCCATGCATGGAGTGGAGGATTAGATCAGCAATTGAAAATGCATGATCTAAACACGGACCAAGGTAAGCAGATTGAATTCTGTAAGTGGTCTCAACAACTGGCTTAAGCTTCAGATTTATATACTCACATGAGTGAAATATGTTTCAGTTTTTTTTAAAGGGGGGTATGTAAGTAGTAGCTGTTTAGATGTTGATTATAAACCTCTATTGATTTAAGTGGTCGGTGTTAATGCTCAGCAGTCTCCTGTGCTGTGCAGCCCTTTCTCATCACTGAGACACAGAACGAGGCAGTATTCCTTACTGTGTGATTGAAGATCGTGCTGTAACGCCTTTAACAGAAGGGGCCAAATCTGTTGCTGCCAAACTGAGGGTTTAAACTTGTCCTGTGATGAATATTCATTGATGTATTTTACATGTGTATTTTTTTAGTTAATTATTCAAAGATGAAAATGGAAGGAAAGGAAATGGCTATATACTTGTCACACTGTCGACTTAGGGTTCACACCATACATGCCTTTATCTAGCAGAGTAACTAGTGCCCCTAATAAGTACCACCTAAAACCATGAAAGCGTTTGGCAGTTTGCCAGAAAGTTTGGCCGATCCTTGTTGTAGGACACCTTGAATGGGATTTCTGATGATGATACTCCTCTGACATAGGTTAGTGTGGCTCAGTTAGGGGGAATTAGCTAAGCTGAACTAAACCTGAGCATGTTATTTTCCAAAGGTTTGTGGGTTAGATGTATTTAGAATGGTCTTTCACGTGTATGGCAGAATGTATATAAAGCTTTTGCTTTGTCAAACATCATGGTCTTATTCTACCTTTTTTTTTTTCCTAAAAAACATTGCTTGAAGGTAACACAGTTCCAGTGCCTTATCAGTACAGAACACAGAGCTAGTTTGTCTACTTTTGTGTGTGTTTGTAAAGGGAAAAGTGAATTTCTGCCTGAGACCAATGTGGTGACCAGAACCAGCCTGTAGCCGGGGCTTGACAAACTTGTCTGTGCAGTAATGTTATGAAAAAGGTCAAATAATTCCATTATAGATGACTTTCTAGAAGTATGTGTATTAACTTTAATATCACATATTAATACAAATATTAATTTCATTCTTTTTGTCGTAATGTTAATACATACAAGCTTAAGTAGCTTTCTGTATTACTGTTTGCATCACGGGTGGCGATACCATTTGATACTGAACCCTTCCTTATACCTCTGAAGATCTCTCTGGGGCTGCCTAAAATTTTTAACTTTCTTTCATAATCTCAGGAGACGTGAGTTTAAATTTAAACATTTCTGATCATTACAGAATTTATGCTTCTGAAGACTGAACTATCTGTAAAGGGACTCCTGGCATATCCATACACCTGTGGGAATGTCAGAAAACAGTGTGTTTGTACTGCAGTAGTGTCCTTTTTTTTTAATTCTTTTTTCAACATGTTCTGACTGTTTGTAGAACCAATAAAGTTACAATGAATTGTATTTTCTTACAGAAAACCTTGTTGGTGCTCATGATGCTCCTATCAGGTGTGTTGAGTATTGCCCAGAAGTGAACGTCATGGTGACTGGAAGCTGGGATCAAACCGTTAAGCTGTGGGATCCCAGAACTCCTTGTAATGCAGGAACCTTCTCTCAGCCTGAAAAGGTATGTACTGGAGCTGTGTTCCAGGCGATACGTTAAGTAATACCTCCAGTGACCGGTTAAATGTCACATGCAGGACACTGTCTTAAACTGAATTGAACTTGAAAAGTTGTATTTAGTGGTTTTTAAAACTGTGAAAATGTTGCACTTTAAAATATTGATATTCAGAATATATTGCGATTTTAGGTTCAGGCTTTGAGCTTTCATCGATAAGAGAGCATAACTTAACTTAATTCTTAGCACTCCTGATGGAACAAATTCTTTTAATTTAAAACAAACTTGAAGAAGAAAAACCTAACAAAAACAGCATGGGAAATTAATGTAACCATTAATAATCCTTAGCTTAATTGTTATATGCACTATCAATTTCCTTCAACGTTAAGACTTTTAGATGTATTGGATCCTGGCAGTTGTAAGGTCTGATTGTTTTGAAGCGTGCATAGATATATAACAGGAGGCCAATTACATTGCCTGAAATAATATTTTTTTTTTTTCACTTGTATTAAAAGGTTGAACAGAATTGCTTGTATTGTAATTTACCTGTACTAATGCCTAGGCATTCTCCTTACACTAAAATCCTCTGTGCTAATGAGAGAGCAAGAGAAATAAGGTAAAATGTAATGTCTTAAGCTTTTTCTAATGGTTATATGGTGTGTTAATCTTTATACTGCTTACAGTGGTGTCATTGAAAGAATTATAGAATAGTAATTTCTGTTTTTTTCGTAGACTCCTAAACACAGGCTGAATTGATGGATAATTTTACGTATTAATATTTTTTTTGCCTATACCCTTTTTAAAAATTTCATTTAGCACTGTCACGTTGTATTGTCAAGTTGTAATTATAAGCCATCATTATGTTCCTTATTGCATCTAAATAGCTATTACTTTTGTTACAACATAGCTGAATCTACTTCTGGCAAGACCTTTGTTCAGAATAAAGTAATTGCATTATTTCTAGTTTTGATTTATAGTTGTATGTAGCATGTAAAGAACTGTGATAAATTGCTGACAGAGTATCATATAATGGACAGCCACAGTGAATCAAGCTGCTTATTGGTTCAGCAAGGTTCATTATGTCACTTTTTTAATACTGCCTTTGATAAATGTGTACACCTACTCAACTGCATGACAATGGTTTCATTTGATTTATGATTGTGTGGTGTAGAAAGAATACTTTCTATACAGGTGTGACATCAGTTTGTAAAGAAGATTTAAGATATTTAATGTTCTTTATGCCTTTGTTTCCATATATGTATACAAACATATTTTATGTAATGCTTATTAGTATTTTTTGATCAATTTTTACACCAATAACGAAGGAAGATTTGAAAAACTTGCCTTGTTAAAGCGTGTAACTCCTGTTGGCTCTAAGTTCTCTTGCCCTTTTAATACATAAGTGGGTTTTGGCAGTTGGGATCATCAGAAATTTTGGGCAACTCCTACGTGAACATTTAAGACCTTTCCCAACTTAAGACCTCAGGCTTTATCACGATGTAGAGCAAGAATGCGTGCTGAAGGAATGTGGATTGGTTAAAGGAAGTTTTATATACGTATACCCACACACGTACACACCTGTCCGCTTATTTTTTTAATTAGAAATTAACTTTTTGAAAACATAGTTTCTCAGAAATCTTTATAGCAAATAAAGAGAAAAGTTTTGTCTGATATTTCAGTGCAGTGTTACCGGAACCAAATAGCTTTATTGAGTTTATCAGAGAACCAGAAAGTGAAATTAGGTGCTTGAATGAAACAGTACAAGCACATGCCAAAAGTAAATTGAATCCTTCTGGCAGGATACCAGATCGCTTACGCTTGTGATTCTTGATCTGAGGTATACGCAATATCTGTTTCCCATGTATTTAGCTGCATTGGATCACTTTTGAAAAAACTTACAGTTTGCTCTCGCTAGCTGTCCTGGCACTGAGCTGCTATAGGTAGCTGGATTCCATCTTGCTTGTGTGTCAACAATGTGTAATTCGTTTGATAGCACAGAGATTTTGACTGAACCTTTCTTCTTTTCCTTTTTTTAACATATTTGCAGATTTAACTGCATCCCAAGTAATAGTGGGAAACAGAATGATTTCTATGCTGAATATTTTATTGAGAAATTTGATAAACAAAAATTAGAAGCTCTGAGCCAGTTTTTGGAGCAGAGTTGAAATTCTAAGCCCTGGTCTTTTTTAATGATGTCAAGCGTATTGCTTCCTTCAGTTCCACTTAGTTTTATTAAAGTATACAAAGTACTGGGTTTTTTTTAATGATTTCTTGGCAATTTATTTCCTTTTATTAACATGAAGCTCAACTTTAAGTATTCTGTTTAAAAAGAAAAACACATGATTACCAGATGGAGGAAAACTGAGATGATGTGTGATGTGGTATTGTAGGAGTAAACTGCAGGATCATGAATTGATAGTGGGGAATGCAAGCTGTGTAGATGAATTCCAATATCCATGCCCTTTTTCCCCCCCCCGTTACTGTGCATCTATTTTCCTTTTGCCTTGAAATATCCAGTAAATTCAACACCTGCAATACTTTTTGAGGAAAACTTGAATAATACCAATTTCCCTTTTGAATTATACATAAATGCTTCTGTACACATGTAGCATTTAAAACATGGGTAATAACGGCAAAAGGAAGAAATCTTGTCTGGAAGATCTAGATATCACTGAGTTCTGGAGACTAGTAACTGAAACAAATGTGCTTGAAACTTAGAATTGCACAAGCACATGTGCATATTACATTTAAACATTTTTTTTTATTTGCTAGGTTTGTTATATGTAGTATGGTGCTGCACTGGGCTTGGTTTTTCAGGGATGTGCTAGGGTACAGAATTAATGCTGAGCTTTCAAAATGCTGCATTGGTGTCTTATCACTAACCAGCTGCGCGCTACTGCTGTTTATCCCAAATTTGAGTTATAAATTGAAGCAAAGGGGAAATCTATAACTATCGGCTCTATTGTAGGTGTCGCCTATTCTGTTATTGCACGTTGCTGACCTTTTATTTTGTACAAAGAACAATGGATATCCAGGCTAAGTGTTAAATATTGAAATTTTTTTTTTAAAGGTGTACACGCTTTCTGTGTCTGGAGATAGACTAATTGTGGGGACAGCCGGTCGGAGAGTGCTGGTGTGGGATTTGCGGAACATGGGTTATGTTCAGCAGCGAAGAGAATCAAGTCTGAAGTATCAGACCCGCTGTATCAGAGCATTTCCGAACAAACAGGTATGGGAGCCACATCAGTAATTGTACTTCCGCTGAATATTGTTTAGGAAAAATGGTGGTTTATTTTTCAAGTTTTTTGCAGCTTTCTCTCATTGTAAGAAATTACTGGTCCTCAAAGTTTTGTAATCAAACTCTGGGCGGGGGCGGGGAAATGGTGTTGAGGCTCCCTGTTCCAGATTAACTCTTTTTAATAGCGTAGCTTAGGAATGTTTGCCACTGACTTACCTACGTATTATATTTTAATTTTTTTCTATGTTGTCTCCTTTTTTAAAATAGTGTATTTAATGCATCACAATGCTGATATGTAATTAAAAACCAAAACAACACCCCCAAGTTGCAGTAGAAGAGAGGAAGACAGAATTGGTGGTTGCTCAGCAGCCTTAATGCATTGTAGCTCTAGGTTCTCCAACAGGCTGTGAACAGAGGCAGGATTAAAACTATATGAATGCTGTTTATATATATATATTTTTTTTTTTTTTTTAAATTCTGAGTCTGTCATGCACTCAAGAACCCATGATCCATTATCTAGGGGGAATTGTACAATTTAGATGATCATACAGCTCTTCCATGTAGGTTAACATAGCGTATCTGTGGTATTTTTTGTTCTGAAGTAAAGCAAGAACATTAGCTTTTTCTGACAGGCTGATTTGGAAGGGAATTTTCCTGTGTACATAGTGGTAGTACAGGAATTGGGAGGCCTAGTTATTTGCTCTTGAACTGACACGAACTCTTTGTCCATTTTCAGTTCTAGTTATAGTAAAACAAGCTGATCTTCCAGATTGTATTGTATTATGGATTTTAAAGAGCCTTGCTATAGCTAGATACCATTACAATCCTATTGCTGAAAAGATCTATTATGGGCTTAACTCAGAAGTTATAATAAAAGCAGCTTAGGTTGCTCTAAGTCAGGACTGTAATTATCTGGATAAGTGGACACCACTTATAATCAAGTTTCACTGAAAATACTATTTCAACTTGAGTGTTTAGTTGCTAGTATAAAGCTCTGAGCTAATTTTAATGTAATGTAATTCTGAAACTAAATAGTCCCATGGGTATCTCTAATATTTGAGATATTTAGGCCCTGGGGGATAGGTGGGAAAATACAAGGGGTTCTTAACTCTTAACATCTTTTTCTTTTTTTTTTTTCCCCCCCCAAATCAACTCGTGTTTGGGTCTGGAGCCTCAGTGTAAACTTAAAACTATAGTGCAATGAGAATCTTTTGGAAAGCTTTTTTTCTGCATTACTTCTTTCTTAGAAGCAGATTTTCTTGATGATGCGGTGGACCTGTGGTAACAAACAACTTCTGGTTGTATGCAATTTGAGAGTGTTTACATTTCATTTATTTGAATTTAGAGGGCTATAATATAAATTGTATTGCAATCTCTTCTCTAGTTGTAAACTCCTAAAATGCGTATCTCCAATTTTTTTTTTGTGTAGGGTTATGTTTTAAGTTCTATTGAAGGTCGTGTTGCAGTGGAATATTTGGATCCAAGTCCTGAAATCCAGAAGAAGAAATATGCATTCAAATGTCACCGTTTGAAGGAAAATAACATCGAGCAGATTTATCCAGTTAATGCTATTTCTTTCCATAATGTCCATAACACGTTTGCTACAGGTAGAGTAGATACTGATTTTTTTGTAACGCTTGCATCCATTCCTTTAGTTTTGATTTAAACAGGCCTTTACTTCATATGCTTTTACTTTTAAAGCATTTAAATCTTATTTCTTGCAATGAGCAGAGTTTTAAATTATTTGCTACAGCAAGAGTTAATTGCTTTAACAAGGATTTTGGGGAAATACTTGTTTTGCTCTTTACTGAATTATGCACTCTATAACCCAGTGTTTTTATTGATAAAGTAATTCCAGGTAGTTTTCTCTTTTCCTTCTCTTTTTTTTTTTTTTTTCCTTTCCTTTCCCTCCCCCCCTTTGCCGTATCTTTTCAGTCTTACCATTCTCCCAATTATAACTCACAAACAGTTTTTAAATATTTAATTTTCAGGAGGTTCCGATGGATTTGTAAATATTTGGGATCCATTTAATAAAAAGCGGCTGTGTCAGTTCCATCGGTATCCCACAAGCATAGCATCACTTGCCTTCAGCAATGATGGAACTACCCTTGCAATAGCTTCTTCGTATATGTATGAAATGGATGACATTGAACATCCTGAAGATGGTATCTATATTCGCCAAGTGACAGATGCAGAAACAAAACCTAAGTGAGTATGCTTCACCTGTATTTGAGCCTTTCTGAGCATTCATCCCAAGATTTATTAATTTTCCTAAATTCATGAATAGCATTATTGATGGCAGTAGATAGTGCAGCTTGACAGTAGGGTTGGTTTTGATCTTATCTTGTTTGCCCAAGCTTTCAATATCCGTAGGTTGATAGACGTCTGATGGATAAAATTGTGTCTAGTTGTTTAGTAGAAGAATGTCAAACTCTTACCCTTTTTGAATAGGTGCTATTATATGAAGCTGTGGAGTTATTGCTAGCTCATTGCTTCAGGAATTAAGTGAAGAATTCAAGAATAATTTATTTGTGTAAATGTTACCATGTTTGGATATTTAAAACTTGGAATTAATGAAATCTTTACACGCTGAGTATGCACCCAGCTGTCACAGTCAGAAGTGAATCTAGATACTGTTCTAGGAAGGTTGTGTAAAATCAAGGAAAAGCTTTCTCGGTTCCCGTGTTTGCTGCAGCCCTCTGATAACACACTTTTCTATCATTGTTGCTGTCAAAATGGGGCAAACTGATTGATGGAGGTAAAAGATTTCTGTTAAGCTTGCTTTGGCATGAATGTTACATAGAAAAATTGCCGTCACAGTGCAGAATTGCGCTACTCGTCATTATGCTAGCACAGGAGCAGTTGTTTTTATTTTCAAATTCCGGTGGTTTGTCATTGCTGCTTTTTTTGTCTTCTGGTACTCAAGCTGTCTTACACTTTATCTGGTTGTCTCCCTTCTTTGTTATCTAAGTGGCTGCGTAAATAGACACACGCAAGTCATCAAAGTTCTTGAGTTTAAAACCTCAAGACCTTCCCCCCCCTCCCTTAAGTGACTTGTATGTTGCTTCGGAGCAGCCATTTTATCGCTGTGGAGATGTGAGGTGGAAGTTACAGGCGAATAAATACACCATCTCTCACTTGGAGATGTTTGTTTTAAAATTTTGATGCTTGTGGAAAAATAAAACCAGAACTATTTCAGTATTTATTTCTGGGCTTCCTCAAGTGCAAAACAAACAAATCCAAAGGTGAAAATTGAAATCTGCTTTTAAAAATCAGGTTGTACTTGTTAAGTAATTTGGTAGGTTTTTAAAAAAAAAAAAAAGTGATAGAAGAATACTTGCTGCTCTTGGTCTTGTAATAGTAAAAGATGCTTTCAGTTATTTTTGTTCACTGCTAGTTATGGTTGCTAATTCTGTAGATGCTTCATTCTGCCGTATGAGGAGGTTAATCTACAATTAAACAATATTTCCTCTTGGCCCTCCATTATTTTCTGAAACAGATGGTTCGTCATTTCCTGGGCTGTTAAACACAGCAAGGTTAAGGTTAGACTCTTGGGAATCAGCTAGTTTTGAATCTTATTAGGCTGTAGAAGGAAAACTAATAAGAATACTCCTTAATATCATTTTGTGACTGTAAACAATTATTTATTAGCAAACAATTGATCCCAGAAGGGCAAATTGTTTGAGTCAGTAATGAGCTGAGAAAAGACAGAGCATATCTGTGTATTTGGAAAATAATTGTAACGTAATTGCAATGCATTTAGACAGGCATCTTTTTGGACCTGTTTCTATCTTTAAATGAATTTCTGAAAACATTAACAAGGTTTATATGCTTTTCTGACATTTACAAGTTGCTTGTGCCAACCGTAGGGCACTAAGAAAGATGCATATATTTTAATGTTACAGTAGTGTGAGTCATCTCTGGTTTATTCTAAAAATAAGTTACTTAGGACAGAAGACTAGTTGTTTCATAGTTATCTTTTTGCATTTTAATTTGAATCACTTAGCATTTCTGCATGGTGCATTCTTAAATGCATCAAGATGGTGCCATATTATATAAAGAAAAGATCAGCTTGTTGATCAATATATTAGTATATATTGTATCTTGATACAAGTGAAAGCGGTCTTTCTATGCGTTTCTGCTTTTATAGGATGTTGACTGTTTTACCTGATTATGATTACTCTAAAAAGCGATTGCTGAAATACACTTTATTTGTTTCAGGTCTACTTAGAGGTCTGCTTAGACTTCTGGTGATACTTCTTCTCTACAAGAGGTGCCCACCTGCTCCTAACAAGACTAAACTGAAACAATAGAAGTGAGAAGAGCAATCTTTGTACTGCAGTTGGTTTTAACTAAGAAATACTTGTTTGTATATTGTAGTATGTCTTAATCTGTTGTTACTTTCCTGCTTATAATGTTAGTGAACCTTTTCTTTATCTGCGTCTGTAGCCAAGTTAGTTCAGGCCTGTAGGCAGCTTTGCTTATACCTTTATAAAAACTTACACATTTTGTAGTATCTAATTATGAAAACTTCCTGTGGTCTCAGATTTGTTCAATAAATATCTGTAGTTTTTCTTGAAAACAAATACTCTGTGTAACAACCTTTACTCTTTGTGAAACAAACATTAAGACCAAATCTTTAAGTTGCAAGAATTCTTGAGTTCTAGAGCGTCCTGATGGAAAATTTCTGAACCTTTTGTCTTTTTCCAATGAGGTGAACTGGGAATTTCTTCATTACCTGGGGACGTTGGCTCTCCAGGCAATGTTTTCACAGGGCTGTGAAAGCCTGCAGTTGCATTAGATGGGCTTGTTTATCTCAGTGACTTGATCGTTACTGAAGAGCCATTAATTGTTTCTGGAGGAAAGACCTTGAATATGTGGTACTTTGTGGGGTTTTTTTTGGTTTTGTTTTTTTTTCCATATACTGCATAAAAGCCTAAAATTAATGATGCTTGGGAAGAACTGAGAGTAGAGGGGAGCAAATTCAGCCTACAGCTGAGTGTTCTGTTCTAAGTCTGCAGATCTGACCTGGTAGCCCAGGGATTGTGGAGTAACACAAGTAGAAAGGTAGAGAAGAGTTTTCCTAGAGTGGAAATGTCATTCTGGCCACAAAACCCCATGAAAATCTGCTGTTTCTCTGAATGTCTTGTTTGCCTTATTGCCAGTTGGCAAGAAGCCCAATCTGTAATCAAATTTGGTGTCAGCCACTTGAGGATTTTGGAGCCTGAACTTGGACAAATTAAAAATTTCTGAGGAAAGTAGTATTAGAAAAACAACTTGGACACCATGCATTTGTTTTTTCTAAACGGCAGTGTAGCTCTGATCAAGAGACTAAACCTGCAAATCAATCTTCTGCTAAGAAGAATATATTCAGCATTGCACATTCCTGGCTGGTTTGTGGAGATAAAGATAAATGCTTTCTGGTTAGTACCACCAATAAAAGCGGTCTCATCCAATCCTGTTTGCAGAACAGACTGTCAGACCACACTCCTAATCAGATGTTTGGGATGGACTTAATATTTAAGTATTCATTTTGTAGTGAATGGTAAGGAAGGACAGAACAAAACTCCTGTGAGGCTTACTGATGATGAAGGTGTGGGTATTTTGGAGTGGTGACCGGATTAATACTTTATTCCCAACTTCTGTTCTGAGTTACCAGTGCCTGTGTAGCCAGTGGGAGTACATTACTACCTTTAAGAAAACAAACTTGCTGACAACAGAAATAGCAACCAATTGTGCCAAAGAAGGTGGTGATGGAGAGGAAGCTGGGCTCTGTGTGTGCAGAAAGCTAACAAACTTGAGCTGTTACCAGGTAGAAGATAGTAAACGAGTTGAATGTGGAATACTTTATAATTTGCTGTGAGCTAGATATGGATTCTTTGACAATATAAACTGGTTTTGATAGGTTTGAAAAAATGAAATATGAATAATGCCATCACTACAGCAGGATCCAGGCTCTGTTCTGATAAATGTGTGCCATCCCTATTTCTTCCAATTTTAAATTGGCTTTTTTGCATTGAGGATGCAAAAAAATTGGTGTTGGGCAAGGGCTGAATTTTTGATGTCAGCTTAGAAGTAATGACCCCTTGGTGTTAGGGTTGGGTGTGGTTTTTGTTTGTGTGTGTGGGTTGTTTTTTTTTTTTTTTTTTTTTTTTTTTTTGAGGAATGAGTTGATACATAGGGTCTGGGGCCTGAACATGGGAACCAAAGGTTTCTGCGAGAGTGACTAGCAAAGAAATAGTAAGCAAAATCCCAGGTTTGGGGGATGACTGTAGGTTGAGTCAGCAGGCGTTGTGGTAAGAACACTGTCAAGCGTTCCAGGGTCCGACACCACAACGTGTGTCTGCCCGTTTAAATACATATGTGTTTGCAGAGCAAGCGTACACAATACCTGTTGTTTCTCCATCTCTCCTCAGCTGAGAGGGTATAATATTACAAAATACAAGCTTGAGCCCACAAAAAAAGAAGTTATTTTGTTGTTACCTAGAAGCACAATGGTGACCCAGCTTGTGAAGAAGAAGAGAGGCCTGAAGTGAGGGTGGCTCCAAATAAATAATGTGTGAGGGGGAAAAACAGGCTGGGACTAATGAAAAGGTGCTTTAGTGATGACGTGGAGAAAGGATCGTGTGAAATGGAGAGAGCGTAGAGTGGGGATGTAGAGGGGTGTAGAACTGGGGGGAACAAAGTGAAATAAGAGCTAGAGAAAGTGGGGGAAAACAAAGAAAAAAATTGGGGGAATTCCAAACAGTTTGGTTAACAAAGTAGGCATGTAACCTGGCAATGATGCAACCTGTGCAATTTAGCATTGCTAAGTATTGGGGGAAAAAAAACCTGTTAATGCTTGGTGTATCGAGATCTGCATGCTTCAGTGGAGAAAGGTAGCCCAGGATACATAGGAGGGCATGGATTGGATTTACTAGTTCTGCTTTGGCTTAAAAATGGTAGGAAAATTTCTTGTGGTGCATTGGTATTTTAAAGAAGTAAATGCTTGAAACAAACGAGTCTGTAGAAAATAGCAAGATAATCGGACATAACAGAGGAGAAGAGAAATGTTGGTCAGGACTACAGCTGCATCCATCTGTTAGGTACGAATAAGTGCAGTTGGAATACGGATATTTCTTTTACAAGATTAATCTTCTATTAGCTCTCTTCTAGAAATGCAGGTCAAGGCAGAGGTTCATAAGCCAGAGAAATCATGAAACAAGCCTTCTCTGACCTGTATAACACAGCTGAACAAAGAGGATATACCGACTCTTGATCAGAGGAATTGAGATCTAAAAAAGCTCCTTAAGTCATTGCTTTTCTGCACGGTGTTGAGGGCCATACAGAAAACATGGAGTCATAGCCGTCGTTCTAATAGAGTCATCAATCACCGTTGACTGCTTGCAGGAAAAAATACCACGGGTTGTCTCTCACAAGAGCCTCATAACACTGTGGTATTAGAAGCCAAGTGGCGTCTGTGCCCTGAATGTTACAAAAGCAGGCTGGTAAGTGTACTTTTTTTTTCCTGTTGGCTAGTACTTCAAGATAATCAGTGTATGGTTACCACATGCAGGTCTGGAGCTCTGCCGCATCTCAGATGTGATGTTTTGTGCTCCCACTGCAATTATAATAAACATATATTTTAAAAAGTGTCCTTTAAATGGGCGTTTTCCCAAGGAAAACCAGTCCCTGCTCTGAGCTCAAAGCTGAACTCTTAAGCTCCCAACACAGACTTAAGCGATGTCGTTGAGAATGACCTTTCTAAAGCTGTGTAGGCATTGCTAGCTCCACCTGCCTTAACTATTTCACACTGTTATAAGTGTCCAGTAGTTTTTACAGCCTTGAAAGTTAAGGAGTTTCCATAATTGGAGTTGTGTAGTTGCTCAGTTCAGCAGTATTTCAGCTGCTGCATCTGCTAAGAGAGGTGCCCCAAAGCTGTGGGTTGGATACTCTTGCAAAGGTTGGCCTAAATGACACGTCCACCATCAGTGATTGGTATTAGTGGTCTGGAGCAGAACCTATCTCTTCTGACTAGCAGGCATCTGTGCTGGTGATTACACCATTAGCTGCTTTTATGTTGTTTGGTATAATCATAACTACAACGCTAGTAATTTTTTAGTCAATGTGCAACTGATACAACTTCTAGTCCTCCAGCAAGTGGCGTTTGCTTTGAAACGTGTCAGGCTTCTTTGTTCAAAATAGTATTTAAGTAATACGTTGTAATACATTCAGATATGTAGAATTTGGAAATTAAAAGTCAAATACAGGACTCACCTAGATATTCTTATAACTAATATGCTGAAGCCACTTCCTGCGAAATCTGTCTTATTTCCTAAGGCTATACGTGTGGCACTTTTTGACTGTATCATGCGTTTTCCTATAGTGTGGAAAGATACGAATGTGCTAACGCATGATAGCAGCACGGGGGCTGTAATAGGTCTTCCGAGTCTCCTGTGATTACCTGCAAAGTGGAAGGGAATAAACTGTTCTCCATGTCCACTGGGACTGGGACGAGGCATAATGAGCTTAAATTGCAGCAGAGATTAGTGTAGACATCAGGAAAAACTTTCGAAGTGTAAGGATGGTTAAGCCCAGGAATAAATTGCCTGGGGAAGGTGCAGTGTCTCCATCTGTGGAATTTCTCAAGCACGGGTTAGACAAGCATCTGTTGGGAATGGTGCGGTTTTAACCGGTTCCATCTTTGGGCAGGAGTGATAACCATAAATACAACCAGTACTTGCTTAACACTGCTAAATTTGTCTCTGATCATTTGCTCGCCTGGCGTTGCTCCTGATACAGCAAACTCTGTATTCTCTGTAACCCAAGCAGGCATTCCTATTTATTTAAAGATTTTAAATTCCCAGACAGGCTTTTGTTTTCCTCTGTGGCCCACGCCACCGCTAACAAACTCGTTGCAGCTCTGAATCCACCCACGCTTACCAGCGTGGCCGGGCACACCAGAGCCAGAGGGTGCTGGGGAGCTCCGCCTGGGAGAAAGCTCTGCAGAACCGTCCCGCTAAACAAGACCGTTGTACTTCTTAAAGTCAGTGTATGTATTAAATGCAATGTATTCATGTTGTAGGCATTTCTGAATTTGCATAAGGTTAATACAGTGGAGTACCTGATTCTTATCAGCTATATAAATATTTCATTTGCATCAGTCTTACAAGAACCATAGTTTAAGCTTGCGGCTACCTTTGCCATCAGCTGCCACTAAACAGCTCTTGCACCTGCGTCGCATGTAGTCGTATACCTTAACAGAAACCCACTATATTCTCTTTTGGTGAAAACAGAGCAAGGTAGCATGAAGTAAAAACAAAGCAATAATTTATTCGCTTATGCCAAAGAGTTCCTAATAATTGAATTAAACCACGCAAGGATTGCTTTCCCTGCTTGTGTGTTCTGCAAACCACCGCTGTTCTGCAGCAACAACAATGCAACAAAGACAACAATTGCCGTATTCTCAGCGCTGCACAAATGCATTGTAAGAGATGATTCTGGCTTGAGGATTTGTTCCCTAAATAGATAAGAAAGCCAAAGGTTGAGAGAGAAGAAATATTCTCATTCCACAGACGTCAACAAAGACACAGAATAAGGAAGCAAATTTCCTTGTCACAGGCAGGACTTGAACAGATTTCTTGATTCCTAGCTCACGTAATTGGTTTAATTTTTTGCCTCTGCTGTAGCCTTACCGGGGGGAGTTATTTGAGTTAATCTTTTTTATTCCTGTGATGTAATTTTTTCGTCAAACGAACACTACTTCCCTGTAAAGGTAAATGAGACCAAATTGTTAAAGGAGAGTTAAGATCCTTAGATGAATCTTCTTAAATGCAAATTTTTCTTATACGAAGATACAATATACACTATTGTGTTGATACATAGTGCTGCTAAGCAGCATAAAGAGATTCCGATAGAATACAGAGATTGACTTTATTTACTACTGACGTGAAGAATAGACTTAGCAGGATGAAAGTAGAAAGTGCAAGCGTTTTTAGAGGTGGTGCTTTTAAAAATAATGTTAAAATAATAATGATAAAATGTGCCATTGTATTTCTACATGGTATTATCTAGGCAGAAAAAGGCCCTCCAAACCAAAAACTATTTAGAAATATTAAGCAGAGAATTTTTACCATGCTCCACACCCTCAGTTTCTGACATCTCCTATTGATGAATTGGTTCTCTTGTCCCACCCAGACGTTTCGCGTTCTGCCGGGGAGCCGATGGCTGCGGTTGCTGCAGCGCTACACATGCAGCTCTGTGTGTTGCAGGATGCTCGTCCGTCGCTGCAGAGCTGTTGAGAAGCTGCAGGTATATTTTCCCCAGAAGCAAACACGTGGGGTGTTTGTAAGTGGGAGAGGCCTGCCTGTTTCCAGTCCCATGACAGCACATAGCCTATTCTTTGATGTTTGCCTTAATGTAGAAAGTCACTATTTTTAATTTTTTACTTGCTGGTGATAATCCATACCATCCTCTGCATCATTTAAAGATGTCAGCTGGTGACATGGCCTGTAATAAGGTAGCATAAATGTCTCTTGTATTTGTAAATTACATGTTTTGAGAACATGACTTTGGCTCTTTCTCTTCCAACATATTTATTTCTCAACATTCTTTCTCTCTTTCAACGTATTCTTTCTCAACATATATTTTATGTTGAGATTGTTTGATTCTTCCTGCGAGGGTTTTATGTAGTGGCCTGCAAGCACACGGGCGCTGGAAGGCGATGCTGCATGAGCGGTAAGAAAAGTGCCCTGTTCCTGTCAGAGTGCCTTGATTTCTGCTAATGAGATTTTGGAGGGAAGCATCGTGAGGAATATTTGTAGATAAACTTTTCAAACAAAAAGTCTGGCCTTTTGTGCAAAACCCTCGGTCCTATACCATAAATTAAATGGCAGGAATAGATCTGGGGAAATGTATCTGTTCATTCCTGTTAAATCTTTGTTTTCAAGATCATAGTGCTTGGTTTGAACAATAAAAGAAGTGCTTAAATCCTTGAATTTTTCCCATGGTTGTAATGGAGTCACTGTTCTTTCCCTGTCATCTGCAATCCTCGAATGCTTTTAATCAAATCTTCAGGGTTTAAATTATTAAATATCTTTTTGGGTTTACATTTTTTATTCCTAATTATACGCAAAAGA